GTGGCCAGCGCCCTTACTTTCTGCCTTAGTCCCTTGAGACGGGGTCTCTCTAAGCCCGGAGCACTCAGCTAGACTAACAGGGCAGCAGCAAGCTGGCACCAGGCTTACAAGCACAGGCTGCAACACCCAGCTTTTTGGGGGGCGAGGGGTATCTGTGGCTTTGGAGGCTGTCCTGGAACTAGTTCTTATGGACCAGGCTGGTCTCCAACTCACAGAGATCCACCTGCCTCTGCCTCCTGAGTGCTGGGATTAAAGGCGTGCACCGCCGCCACCGGCTGCAACACCCAGTTTTTAAAGTGTGTGCTGGGGACCCAAACGCAGGTCCTCGCACTCTGGATGCAAGTACTCTTATAGCTCAGGCTGATCTCAAGCTATGAAGCCAAATAATTTCATCTTCTGGAAATCCTCAGTGACTTGAAGCCGCAATTGAAGCCTTCAATCTCCAATGTTTTTGTTCGTGTTTATTGGTTTAGTCTCTGATTTAGTGAGAAAACAGCACCTCCTGGAATATAGGTAACACACATGCAAAGACTCCACTTTCCTCAGGAATGGAGGAAGACTGAATCAGAGGTTCAAGAACAGCATCCTATATATAGTGAGTTTGGGGCCAGCCTGGACTACATCACACCCCGGAATACACACACATCCCACATACAAGTAAATGTGTAATCATATATTTAAAAGCAAAGGTTAATTCAGAGGCATTCTGATTACCAAACTTGGCCTCCAATTTGTCTCCAGAAATCAAAATCTACCAGAGCAATGAAGTCCATTAGTCATCCATAGTCTGTCAGCAACTGAATGAGTATAAACTTGCAGAGGCCAGAGCTCATAAACACACAACCAAGGAAAGGAGAAGCCAGCCACCCAGCTGTCCCTAGGAGCAACCGTGAAGTCTTAAAACAGGCAAGTAAGTGACCAAGCCATTTATTTCCTCTTAGAATTTGCATATGAATACAGACTATGGGACTCCCTGCATCATAGATAAAACCAAGATACAGGACATTTAAATGTTAAACTTGAGTAATCAAAAGTTTAAACTCTCTTGGGCTGAGTTCAGCCCCAAAACAAGAGGAGGAGGAAGAAGATGATGTTTAACTCCCAGCGGTTACAGCTCAGTGGCTTAGAGCACTTACTGTAAGAGGATCAGAGGGACCCCAGCACCCACACCAGGGAGCACACAACTGCCAGTAACCCCAGCTCTGGTGGATCTGAAGCCCACCTCAGGCCTGCATAGGAACCAAAGCGCGTGCACACACACACACACACACACACACACACACACACACACACAATCTGTAATCATTTATTTAAAAACAAGTGCAGGGTAGTGGTAGGGTACACCTTTCATTCCAGCACTCAGGAGGCTGAGGCAGGCAGATCTTTGAGTTCAAGGCCAGCCTGGTCTACAAAGGCAGGCCCAGGGCAGTCAGGGCTATACAGAGAAACCCTGTTTCAAAAAAATAAAAATAAAAATAAATGAACTCTCTATTTGACCTCACGGCAGAGTTCAGTCAGGAAGTTGCCTTTGGGAAGTCTTAGGGAATAACTGGTAACTATGGATGGGAACTGTGGCTCAGTTAGTGTACATCCCAAGCCTCCTGCCCAAGCTAGTTCACTGTCTAGCATCCAACAAAGAATCAAATTTTGGGCTGTACACAGATGTTATAATGAAACCCGTTTATTTATATGTTGACCTAAAATTATGTATGTATATATATCCTAATAGAGTGGCGGCTCCCAGCTGTCACTTCAGTCCCAGGAGGCTGAAGAAAGATCAAGGTCAAGGCCAGTCTGAGCTGCATAGTGCGTTCTAGGACAGCCTGGGCTGCAGAATGAGTCCTTGTTTAAAAAACAAAAGAAGAAACCCAAAACTAACTGATTTACTAAATATGTAGCACATATGATATAAATATGTGACATTAAATACAAAACAAGCCGGGCGTTGGTGGCGCACGCCTTTAAATCCCAGCACTCGGGAGGCAGAGGCAGGCGGATCTCTGTGAGTTTGAGGCCAGCCTGGTCTACAGAGTGAGTTCCAGGACAGCCTCCAAAACAATACAGAGAAACCCTGTCTCGAAAAACCAAAAATAAATAAATAAATACAAAACAAATCTGAAAATAATCTTTAATGATTATATTATGTAAAAATGAAAAAAAACGGATCATTCTATCCAAAGAGGAGAAAACGGCACACTCTATGATAAACCTCCCCCAAATGTTTACACATCCATCAAGATTATATATTCATGATGTAACTCATAAGTAACTCAGTGTACGATTCATCTGAACAAAAACAAAAAAGCAAGGTTTCATGTAGCCCAGACTGTCATCAAAGTTAAGTCACAGTTTTCCTGCCTTAGCCTTCTGAGTGCTGGGAGTGCAAATGTGATCCTCCGCACCCAGCCACGCCACTCTTATTTCTAAAGAGCAAATCTAGTCTTCAGCTCTGAGTTTCCTCCTAAATCATTTGCTCTGTCTAATTAGTGGTCTCAGCCACTTTCTGATATAAGAAGCTAATCACAATGAGGCTAAAAGTGGGGAAGCAGACAGCTGACATTCACCAACGAAAACACAAGGGCCAGTACCATCACTTCCTTCTCTCCATCAGATCTTGTCAAGTCTCTACACTTCATGCCAGGTCCCAAGCTTCACACAGGGAGGGGACAGTTTGTCAGCAAAACCAGATAAGCCCCTTGCCTAGTAGAGCATGCAGACCAACAAAACCCATTGGTTAAAAAGCTCCTAAACCCACAAACGTAGCCTCCAAAGGGAATAGATCAAGGGGTTAGGGAGCCAAGAGGCAGATGGAACCTGTCTGGAGGTCAGGGACTGGAGCTTAAGACAGAGAGTAAGGGCAGAATTTGGGGATGCTGAATTATTTTTAATTCTGAGATTCTACTCAAAGTGTTGGTCTTCTAAACTCGGGTTGAAATGAAGGAACTCATATATTCCAACAAGCACATGCAAGTGTATCGATCCATCTCCAAATTGATAACTGGGAAACCGGCCAACAGATTAATGATGCTGTGGATGTCACTTAAGTCATCTCTTAAAAGAGACTGCCTGGATGTTTCAAGATGGTGGTTGACTAACATGGAGAAGGGGGATGCAGGTTTCAGGAGGGTATGTCAGGTGGAGAAGAAAGGAAGGAATATTTTTAAGCAAATAAGTGTAATTTATTGGGAAGGGGATAAGGTCATATTTCAGTGTAAGCAGATAATAAGAAAACTATAGTCATATAAAAATCGAGGTAAGGAATGTCTCCTGGCTACAAATTTTTAGCAATTATACCTTAAAATCACTGTATTCAAAACCAGAACTATGTTGACAGCAGTTGTCATCAAAGCCTGGTGTGGGCCGATGAGATGGTGGCTGGGAGAGGAGCTTGCTTCCCAAGGCTGGCGACATGAGTTCAAGCCCCACAACCCACATAAAGGGAGAGGGAGAGAGTCAACTTCACAGAGCTGTTGTCTGACCTGCACACAGGCACATCTATCCCTCCCCCACACAGAGATGGAGCACACACCTCCACTCTTTCTCTCATGAGTCATTCTTTCTTTAAAAAGGCTGTTGTTACCAAGTATCAAAATGTAACTGAGGCATCCGATAGAGACGGTACTGCAGACGGTGAGGTGCCTGTTTGAAAACCTATGCGTTCTCGAGGCCGTGAGGACGTTGAGTTTTACAAGAAGTGATGAGTTAAAACGTGTAGATAGAAACTGTTAAGAGCGGCCACTCAGCATATGCTATACTAGGACAACTAAAGAGGTCAAGGCGATCAGGTCCAACCTCTGTGAGATTTACCTGGATCTCAATGTTTTGTTCTACACAGAAAGGTGTTTACACTTCAGGAGACACTCCTACCAGTTCTCATTACTCTCTATCCCCAAATTCAGCAATTGGTTGATTTTCTGTAGGTTGTTTGGTGGTTCACAGGTTTCTGTAAGAATATCATAAATCCACCTGAGTGAAGTCTTGCTCACCATCACGGGTGCTGGAAAACAGCTAAAATGCAATGTCGCCAGCCGGGCGTGGCTGCGAAGTCATTTAAAAGGCTGAGGCAGGAGGATTGCCACTAGTTGGACTAGGTAGTGAGTTCCAAGCCAGCCTACGTTAGAGTAAGACCCTGTCTCAATACAAACAAGAAAATTAATTAGCAGTCCCGAACAACAACAAAAGAAAAAGAACTGAATAAAACTCAATAATACGAATGAGACAAAAAGGCTGTGGTGTACCAGATTGCATATTCCCACCTCGAGCCAAGCGGGCCTGTGAAATGCAGTATTTCTAGAGCTTTTCAGTAGACAGAAAGAGGGCAAGGAACGCTCGCTTAAGCCTATGCCTACGTCCGTGGAGAACTTCTAACTCCAATGTTTGTTTATCCAACTGAGTCCTTAGGCAGCAAACTGTGAGAAAGGGAGACAGGATGTCAGGAGCTTTGCCTAACCCTCCATTGGTGCTAGGCTCGGGTTCTCTCTGTCTTCCAGACAGACTCTCTGCATCAGCTAGGCGGTGTCCCAGGCGCTGCCGCAGGACTCTGGGTACCAAACCCAGTAGCCCGGGTGGAAGCTGATGTCAAGGCCAATACTGGGTGGGGAACCTAGGACCCAGGTTTGCAATGCTCCAAAGCACGTTCCGACTTTTCCTCTCTGGGACCTGGGGGTGTGTGAGGTGCCTTCAAATGTCTGGCCATGATCAGTTCTTACGGATGCTCCACCGGCCATTCCCCGGGCTGCCAGCCCACCGGAAGAGAGGGGAAAGGCTGGAAAGCGGCGGGCAGAGGCAGATGTGATGGCTGCGGAAGAGCTAGGTCGCCGCCCTTTGGGACCCACGACAAAGATGCCAGCCCCGCCCCGGTGCGAAGGACCCCGAGAGCCTGCAAAGGGTTGCGCTCGAGTTTGCAGACGGGCTGCACCGGCGGGAAGTTGTGGCAGGCGGAAATCGCCAGGACGCCCCATCTCCATCCCGCCCCACCCGGGCAGGTGGCCGCAGCATACCTTGGTGGCGGGGTCCGCGTCGGCGGGTTCTCCTGCTGCTCCCGGCTCTTCCGCTGCGGGTCCGTGGCCACTGAGCTCTAGCTCGCCCGGCGTGTCGCTCTCCGCCGGCTGCTCGGGGCTCCGCTGCTCGGTGGAACTGCCTGCGCCCATGGCTCAGTGGCTCTCCTATTCCCGCTGGCTAGCGCCTTCCTGGGACCGCTGGGACGCCGAGGGACTAGGGGACGTGCTCCCAGGACCACAGGCTCTAGGGGCGAGGAGCGCCGGGTCTCTGCGATCCTGCTGAGAACGCGTCCAGACTGCGAATGAAGGGGACGCGCTCGTGGCAAACTCCTTAAAAGAAAAAAAAAAAAAGCCACCTCGTAGCCTCCTCCCCCCTCCTTGTTTTTCCCTCCCTTCATCACATGAGCACAGCCCAGACACGCCTTGCAGCATCTCCCCCTAAGCTGCTAGGACCAAAGGCTCCGCCGCCAGGTCCCCAGCAACCCACCCCACCCCCAGGACTCCTCAGGTCCCTAAAGGGGACAAGAGCTTTGGGGTCTGTCCCGGGACTGAAGAAGGTTCAGGGACAGCAAGAAGGAAGGGGGGAGGGAGCAAAAGCTTTGTTTTTTAAATTCAATGACTGATACTCCCAGGTTGGAGCTTCTGCAGCCCTGGGATTTGCATCTGGCCAGGCGCGAACCCAAATTCTTTTCTTAGGATTGTGTTTGACTTTAAGCATTTGTTCCAGCCTTCTCTCCTTTAGCAGGAGAAAGGAAGCGCTCCTGGGCTGCTCCTGAGCCTGGCCATATTAGGTTGGCTCACGTGGCTGGAGCTGGGAAACCCAAAGGTTGATGCAGTCAGGCCACCGCTGAGGTGGGCCCAGCGTCCCCCGTGATCGCAGCCAGTGATGTCAGCTGATGCCATCAGCAGAACTCACCGCCCTCTTTCCCCAGGGAACGCGGGGAACTGAAGCTGTTACTGGAAATGTGCCTGTCCTCTGAGCGTCTGATGCTGAAGGTACACATCCAGGCCTCTTGTCTCGGAGGACGCTAAAACACCACGTTGGCTTAGGTCTGACCGGTCGCCATTGGTGTTCTCAAGCCATGAAGATCTCGAATACCAGCGAAGAAGGGGCTTGCCTGTTTTCTTCCTCCACTTGATTCGATAATCACTATATTAACGTCGCAGCCGATAAAGTCTTTGACTTAAATTAAAATGTTGCTGGATTATTATTCCGCACTAAGCATGAGAGGAGTAGGGAGGGAATCATAAAATGCTCTCAGGTGAGCTGGGGTTTGTATTCAAGCGGGTAATCCCTGATAACTGAGTGGCAGAGGCAAGAGGGTCGGTCAGCTTGAGCCCGAGGCCCCCTGAGCTCCAATTCAGCCTGAGAGCCACAGAGCAAGACCTTGTGCAGAAAGAATTAAGGAATCAGGGACTTAAAACACAATAAGAGCATTGAGTCTAGATGCCAGATAAACATCTCACTCCCAGATTTAATACAATTTAGTGAAGTGTCAATGGAAACATCAACTTAGTTATATGACATCTGATCCTTATTCGTTGTCATAAACGAACATATTGGCAACCACTCATTAGTTTTTTCAGGATGGAATTTGGTTTTTTGGAACTGGAGAGGTGGCTCAATGGTTAAGAGCACTGGCAGCTCTTCCAAAGGATCCCAGTTCAGTTCCCAGCCCCCACAATAGCAACTCACAACTGTCTGTAAATCCAGTTCCAAGGGATCCGATACTCTCACAACAGACATGCAAGCAGGCAAAACACCAATACACACAAAATAAAAATAAATAAATGATTGAAAATTTGTTTTCTCAAAAACATTTGTTTTCTCAATTATTTCTGTGGGTATACACGAAGGCCAATTTCTCTGGAGTTTATTCATTTAGTAACAGATTTTCAAGACGTTTGTTTTTAGTTATTTGGAATCTTATCACCTAGCTCAACTTGTTTTATGTTATGGTATTTTATTTGTTGAGACTGTAGTCATGCACTCTCTAGCTAGGCCCAGTCTCTGGAGAGAAGACAGTATAGGCTTGAGAGACCACGCCCACCCTGCTCCAATTTAAATTTTGACTGTTTGGAGAATATTAGCATCTCCCCTCCCCGACCCTACACAGTGCTGGAGAGTGGACTCTGAGGCCTGCCACGGTGCTCTCGCACTGAGCTGTGTGTCTGACTCAATCATGAGCATCCTCATTCTGTATCAAAAAACGTTGCCCATATCTTTACATACACTCCTCACAACAACCTGATGGCATACATCCATTGTCCTCATTTTACCAGTGAGGGGATTAGGCAAAGAAACCAATTTTTGTGCACCCAAGGTTTCACAGTTGGTAGATGTATGGTCAAGGCATCCCATGGGCACATGACTCCAAAGCCCATGCTCAGCCACCACACTCCAAATCCTTCTGCAAGACGCTTTCATTTTTCAATCTCTTTCTCTCGAGGATGTTAGTGAAAAGAGACATTTTAGTCTCAGGAACTTGAAAATGTGGTTGAGGCAGTTTGAGAAACAGGGCGTGGCTCCAATGTAGAGCTCTGGATCATGTGCATGGGTTTCTATCCCGGCACCACCGTGGGGGAGGGGCTTATCTGAGAACAATAAAGTCAGCACATATGAAGATGTAGCAGGAGGTACTATTTGTACTGCCTGCTTTGATACAGACAGTATCAGCGTTCCCCCGTTCTGTGAGATTATATTATTCAAGTTCGTGGGAAATTCTTGACAAAACTTTTCACATTCACTAGCCTTGAAATGTTCAGAAAAGATTACAAGGCCAAAGATTTTCAGCTAGCAGTAGACAGGCCAGCTCTGAGGAATACATTGCCTGTGCCTGCTTACAGCACAAGCCGTTGCCTGTATTTGTTCTCCAGGCTGTAAAACTGCCTTTTCTTACGTTTGAAAAGTGAAATTGAGGGGATGGGGAGATGGTGCAAACATGAGGACCCAAGTTTGGATCCCCACCCCCACCCCCCACCCTTGGCATCAGCACACAAAGTCTGGTGAGGTGGACTTGTGACTATAGTCTCAGCAAGGGGGGGGGACTGTAAACAGACCCTTGATCAACCTAGACAAATCAGTGAGAGACCCTGTTGTAAAAAAGACAGCCTTTAATCCCAGCACTTGGAAGGCAGAAGCAGGTGGATCTCAGTGAGTTCAAGACCAACCTGGTCTACAAAGTGAGTTCCAGGACAGCCGGAACTGTTACACAGAGAACCCTGTCTCAAACAAAAAGAAGAAGAAGAAGAAGAAGAAGAAGAAGAAGAAGAAGAAGAAGAAGAAGAAGAAGAAGAAGAAGAAGAAGAAGAAGAAGAAGAAAAGAAAGAAAGAAAAGAAAGCATAAAAAGTAAAATTGTATTTTAGGGCCTAGAGATATAATGGTCAAAATAAATTAAGGGATGTACACATAATATTCTCTATTCTGCCTAAAACACCTCCATGGTTACTGGTATAGTAGTTATAATGGCTTATCCAGGCCAGGGCACCAACCTACAATCTAAGCAGGAGGATTTCCATGAATCTGAGGCTAGCCTGGGCCACATAGTAAGTTTGGGGTATCTTGGCCTACATAACAAAACCTTAGAGTTAGTCTTTTGTGCTTGTTTGTTTTTCAAACCAGGGCTTCTCTGTGTAGCCCTGACTGTCCTGGAACTTGCTCTGTAGACCAGGCTGGCTTTTAACTCCCCAGTACTGGGATTAAAGGGCCACCACTGCTCAGCAAATAGAATACTCTTGCATTTTAGTGCTCCAGGCATGCTACACAGGCACTGTAATAACTGAGTGATGTGCCCAGCCATTCAACACACATTCATCAAGGGCCAGTCTTTTTTTTTTTTTTTTTTTTGGTTTTTCGAGACAGGGTTTCTCTGTGGCTTTGGAGGCTGTCCTGGAACTAGCCCTTGTAGACCAAGCTGGCCTCGAACTCACAGAGATCCGCCTGCCTCTGCCTTCCAAGTGCTGGGATTAAAGGTGTGCGCCACCAATGCCCGGCTAAGGGCCAGTCTTATACCAAATACAGTTACTGCCCTGCTTTTCAGCCAATGTTCTGATGCAAGTCTCCACGGTTTTCTTCTGTTGGGTTCTGGTAATATCTGAAAAATTGCTCTCCTGGCCTCCGTGAAGTTGAAGACAGCTGCCCTGCTTTCCACCCCTCCCTTGGAGGCGGCAGTTACACAGATTCTGTCTAGCAGCCCCCCCCCTTCTGACACACCACAGGGCGCAGGTGTCCTCCCCCAAACTCTCCCATGGGACAGCCAGTGACTTGAGATGTTTCCCCGAGAGGGTTAATGCTCTCATACAAAACAATTTGAGATTTCTCAAAAACAAACACGCATTGCCTGTAGGGCAGGCTGAGCTTGTACTTCTTAAGTTTGCTTCTCCAGAAAAACTGGTCACATGAGATTTCAAAGAAAATGTAGAACGCTGCTATGACATCTCGTGCGCACCCTCACGGTTTTAAAGGAATTAGAGGCAGGGAAAACCTTGATCAACTCAATACCGTGACATTATCCAATGGGATGCAGGTTGAATATAGTGAACAAGAGTACCTACCATATGCAGCTCAAAATAGAATTGAATGTACTCACCATAAATAAATAATGATTTATTGTGTTTTAAAGTTCTGATATGGTCTCACAACCAGGACTGTATCTCAGTACAATAGTACTTGCCTTGTATGCATGAGACCCTGAGTTTAATTCTCCAGAACTACCTCCCTAGAGAGAGACAGACACAGAGATAGAGATAGAGGTGGGGGGGAGGCCTCATGTAGCCTAGGCTGGCTATGAATCTAAGCCTAACTTGCTATGTACCTAAGACTGGCCCTGAACTCATCTTCCTGCTTCTACCCCTCAATTGCTTGTATCACAGGCATGCACCATCAAACCTGTTTTTTTTTTTTTTTTTTCAGTGCTGGGATCAAGCCTGTGGGTTCCTGTACAGGAGACAAGCATTCCCCAGCCCAGAACTAATAAAAGTTTAAGGTGAGGGATATGCAAATTACCCTGAGTTTGTCACTTGGACAGATAGTCATAAATCAAAATATTACATTCTATTTCACAAACATGTAAAAAGTAGCATGTAAACATTAAAAGCTATATACAGGAAAACAGGAATATTTTTCCCACTTATGCTTTTCCACTCACATTCTTCATAGCATCAGTTATTTACAGAGAACTAATTTCATCTAACTGCCAATACTTCCTTCAAGGTGAGTCTAAATAAAAATAAATAAAATAAATCAACTGTGGGAGCTCAGGCTTGTAATCCCAACACTCAGCATGGTAAGACCGGAAGATAACCAAAGCTGTAGTTCAAGGCTAGCTTGG